TCCGCCCCTGAAATGGATGGATTCCATCTAAATCGCCGTTGGTTGACGAGAAATTTTAACTTTGACCAAATATTAACCAATTTTGCAAGGGGCAAAATAATAACTTTATATTTTCAAACTTAAATAATTAAATAAAAAAAAACAAAAATGAAATCCATCTCCTTCCCAAACCCACCCAAATCCATCATTTTTGTTTATTTTATTTTTTTCATGATCAAAGTAGGTGCAGGAATGCAGGAAAAAGGGGGGTTTATGTGGCGTTAATGTGACATTAAATGATAGATAAAATTAAATAAGTCATTTATATTCACTTTTCACTTAGCTTATCATTTAGAGTCACATAGATTGGGGTTACAACCCCACTGGGGATGAATAGTATTATTCTTTCAACTAATTTGCCTTGCCTCGACGGTTCATTCTACCAATCGCGAAAATCTCTCTAAAATATAGGTGATTTATGATTTTTCTTAATTTTCAACTGGAACTTATCTGAAATTCATCAAAAATGGTGGTTAACGTTTGAATTGATTTTAAATCCTTTTTTGATCTCCATTATTTTCAAAACATATTTTTCTCTCTTATTTTCAACTATGTATTTTTTAATAAAATAATATTACACGCAAATCCAAAATATTTTCTTATTTTTTTAACCACATATTCTCCATCAAATCACTATTACAAAATACATTTTAGCAAAATAATGAGGCTCAAACGGGCTCAACTTAAAATGATACAAAATGACTGTTGTTTCATGTAGATTGTTGTGCCTACAATATTCACGTGCCTACATTGTTGCATTTACTTATAAGGTTACTTGGAGCAGAAATATTTGAAGGTTATTATTTTGATAAAATACCGTAAGAGTACGGTATTATAGGTAAGTAACCAACTAATGAATCAAGTATTGTCTCACAAAAATTGAATCAAGTAATAACCAAAAAAAGCTCTAAGAGGAGTTCATTGGTAATTATTATTTGTACAAGGTATACAATTAGGCTAAACATACTGACCTCACAATTTTTATAAGTGCACCACATTTTAATTTCACGAAAGATTCATAATTTTGGCTTATTGTTAGCCAACTTTTTTTAATTTCATTATTATCTTCATTGTTCTATTAATTCTCACATCTTGTCCATCATGACGATTGTCATCCAAACTCTATTAAGAAAGAATAAAATGTTTATTTTTTTTCTCATTTTTGTAAATAAGAAAAAAAAACAACAAACACAAGGTTCGACAAAATATTTTTTACTCATTTCAAAGCAAGCTAACATAATAGAAACTGTCATCAAACACAATATTTGCTAATTAATTGAAAGGTTAAGGATAAGAATGTGATGAAAAAAGTCGAAGACTCAAATGTAATAATGAGCAATAAGTACACTTTATATATGAAATAACTCAAGAACAATCAAAATTTTATTTTATAGTTAAATTTTAGACAGCTCAAAAATGTTGGTTCAAACTCCAAACAACTCCATGTGGGTCCCACAACAACTTTAAATATTCAAACTACCATACAAGGGGGAGTATCACAATATGGTGGTTGAAAGTTAACAACCAAAATCCAACTACCCCTTGGTACTACAAGGACACAGTGACGTTAAAAAGTCGTACAGTTCTGCAAAGTATACAACAAGTCAACATTTTACCACGTCAATTCAAAAAACAAAACAATTTTCCCTTCACTCATTTTTTACGACACATCAAATGTCTAACAAGAGTGTACATCTTGCATTTTTGAAATGTTTGCTGCCATTGCAAAGACTTGTCATTGTTAAACTAATGCAACTTATTCCTTGTTTGGCTCCCATTTTTTCGAATTCATTTTCCATAAACTCATTTTTAACTGCACATTTCATGGATCCACAACTTTTATCAACTTTTCAACTACAAATTTCATTTACTCTTATCAAAATCTACTAAATATCTGATTTTAAGCTAAACCAAACAGGGTTTTAGATAGTGAACGAGCCATAGAAACCACATTTAGGCATACCAATTGATGAGTGCCCTCATCTTAACAAAAAGCAGGATCGAAAAGAACAGATCAAAGGTGGAATGCACACTACACGATAAGAAGGTAAGGGGTTACGAATAAATGCAGAGAAAACATAATATCCCGTGACATATTCGCATTACATGAGGTGTAGATATATGATTCGCAGAACAAGAAAACAACTTTGGTGTAGGCTACAGGGCCTTCTTTGGGCTACAAACAGTGACCATAAAGATAAGAAATAAATTTTGTGATGTAGAAGAATCGTCTATCTGTTACAGTGGCACTCCATAAGCAAATCAAAATTTCGAGCAAGACCCACAATTCTTATTGGACGAGTCTTTCTCGGAGCCAAACAGCCTAACATAGACTGTATTGGAAAGAAGGACCTTTATGGAAGAATGACATGTTTCTTCAACTAAAAAATCAACCTCGAGCAGGGCAAGAGCTGGGAATGATCTGCAAAAATTTCGCCCTAGCTGTAGGGTCAGTGGAAAATCGACCTAAGACACCAATTGTAGCAGTATTGCTGCCAAATTTCTCGATCCCTCGAGCGATCATACACATGTGATTAGCTTCCACAACTACCATTACATCTTCACCTAAAATGGATGAAATCGTCTCTGCTATTTGCCTGGTCAGCCTTTCCTGTACTTGGAGCTTGAATCCATAAAAATGTACTATTGACTGTAAAAGAGATCTCCCCACAGGACTCGCCCCATTGGAACAGTAATAACCTATATGCACTACACCATGGAAGGGAAGTAAATGGTGTTCACATTGTGACCACAATGTCAAGTTCAGTTCTGAACAGAAACAATCTTCTGTATGGTCTACTCCTCCATTGGAAGTTAGAGAATCTCTGCTGTTTCGGACAAACCCATTCAGCTTCATATCCAGATTAGTATTCCTAAACTTCATTAACCAGTTCACAAAACGAGCAGGAGTTTCAACGAGCTCCTTCCTTAATGGATCTTCACCCAAAGAACAAAGAATTGAAGCTACTGCATTAAGCATCACCGAATTTGCTGGTTCCGTCTTGCAGAAAGCGTGAGACGGGCACCAAGATTTGTTGCTCGAGCCTCCAGAACAGATATCCTCTACATTTCTATCTCTGAATCTCAGAAGACTCAAAAAATCAGTCCAAGTATCTGACTTCTCATCTTCAAAAACTCCTGTCCCTGATGTAACTAAAATCTTCACCCATCCTCCGTGATTTGGGTCCAAGATAGCTGTTTCAAAATTTGGCAAAGGAATGTGAGAACATTGGAGAACGACAGCAACGCCTGTCGCTTTGATACCATGCTGCAAAGCTGTACACAACTCATTGGCCAAGCGCTGTGGATCTTGAAGTCGTTTTGCAAAAATATCGGCTACTCGAGAGAGCTTGCTTAGGCCTACAACCTGCTGGCCATATGGGACATAACCCACATGACATTTAATCTGGAAAGGGAACAAGCATGACTCACAATAGGAGAAGAGATCAAGATCTCGAACAATTACAAGCCCACCAGCACCACCGGCATGTCCAACTCCACTTTCTAATCCAGCTTCCGGGAATAAAGCGCCACAGACAATGTCCTTCACTGTCTGTTTATAACCTGGATATACATACAACATACAAATCATATTTGTAAACATGTAGCAAAAACCGCAGCTACTGCTTGTACAATAAACGATATATAGGCTCCGTTTGGGAGCCATTCATTCTTCAAATAATATATGTTTTCTTTTACACCAAGTGGGGTCCATAGCTGGAAAGAGACACAAAAAATGTGTGATTTGACACAAAGAATGCGATTTTTTGTAGGAAAATGGTTACCAAACGGAGGCATAAATAAATTTACAATAAGATATTGGCAATAAAAGCTTCTCCACATATCCACAGCAGCAAATGATTATACAAAAACTAATAAAAATGTATCATCGTCATTAGGGACCATAATCAACGACAACTATGCAGCCAAATTTCTACTGTATGAATAATTACAAGGAGCATTTTTTCCAGGTGCACACCAATTTTCACATCGCCTATCAGGTTGAGTACCAAAGTGCACACCAATTTTCACATCGCCTATCGGGTTGAGTACCAAAGTACTCAAATCTCCATTAATCTAATATAGAACGAAATATCGAAAACTAAAATCTATACACTTGAACTGAACAATGAATTTCTCACATTCCCCTCGTTATATTTTTGAAAGCAGAGATCAAATAATTTTGGTCAGATCCAATCAAGCCAACCATCGAATATTTTTCAATACTAGGAGCAATGGAAATTTACTTCAATAAATGCTAATATATTCATACCAATCTTGATGTGCATCAAGGATACTTACAGTTGCCAAATATTTTTGACAATTTAAACATGTTCCCAGTACCAGGAAAAAAAAGTTCTAATCTTTTTTCAATAGACGCTTGCTACAATCACCCAGTTGCTTCAGAACTTGACATTGCTAACAGAAACCAACCATATCAAATATGTTCTCCATATTTTTACTTAATGCTGTATTAATCAAAATCTTCCTTGTATTATATCTCTTGTTTGGCACCTACTTAAATTATAAAAATAATCAAACAAACTTACTTTTTACCTACACATTTCATGAGACCACAAGTACAACCTACTCATCTATAATTCAAACTGACTATAAACTATTCCCAAACTAACACAATTTCATAAGAAGTTTATTATTAGTGAAGCAGTAATATATATATCTACAAGACTACAACTCCCATAGGAATACAAATCTAATATACTTCACGAAGATGACAAGCAACAGATCCAACTCCTAGGGCTTTTATAATGAAACAGTGAAATTAAGCATCAGAAATAAATAATTACCTCTAGTTCCTTCACGAAGAGCCCTGGCTACACGAAGAGGGGTCTTTCGCAGACCTTCTTGTTCGATATCTTCACCCAAACCCTGCAAGAGAACTCTCACAGCATCCTCAATGTCAAGAATCTCAGGCTCCTCCTCAAAACTTAGTTTAACATTGCCCCCTCGCTTCACTCCATTCTCTAGCTCCAGATAGTAATGCCCCTCATCTAAAGCGCCCATTACAGAAATCATTCAAATTCCACCGACCTAACCCAACCTACCCACCAACCCAAATCAGTAATCAAGATTCAGAACGAACAAAACTAAATCTTGAATCTTAAGATATAAAAAACAGAACCCAGTAAAGATTCAGCTACAAGATTCAATCTTTAAGGCTCCAAAATTAAAAGAACGACAGAATATTTAAACTTTATAGCAGCGAGATAAAAATAACGGCCAAACCACGAAGGGATCTGACAGATCAAATCTCAATTCAAAAAAGAATCTTCACAAACGCCTCAGAAAAACAAGCATCACTTGGATAAGAGAAAAGAAGTTTACGTATGGTGTTATCGAGATGTTAAGATGATGAGAAGAGGGTGAGGGATGTGTGTGCGCAAATGTTCGAAAGCAGTACGTAAAACGTAGGGTTGTCGTTGATATTGGAATGTGTGGAAGAAGGACTTGCCCATTTTTTCCAAACCATTACGAGATTCAACTAATCGGAGAATGGGACCCCATCCTGCCCTTTTTCCTCTTTAGCTTTTTTCAAAAGGGCAAATTGAACTCAGTGACCAAATTTCAAGTTCCAAACTTCTTATTCTTGACACTGCCATTTTAGATGTTTGCAAAATTAAGCCTCTGTTTGGGTTTCAATAAAGGTCATGTTTGATTCTCATTTTTTATCCATAAAAATGAAAATATAGCCGTTATTCATCACATTAAGTCATCAATTTTGAATTTTTATCTCTTCTGTGGAGCCCAATAACGATTATATTTTTCATTCTCATTCTAGAATAATGAGAATCAAACGGGGTGAAAATTTATTTTAGAATAATAATTTTTTTTAAGAATGTGCGATTAAAAAAAAGTTTTGATTTTACGTATAATATTATTTTATTGAAAAATATGTGATTAAAAAAAGAAAAGAGAAAAATATATTTTAAATAAAATGAAGCCCGGGCTAAGCATCACAAAGTCTTTTGGATGATTCCGTCTAAAGATTGGTCAGTTAACTAAGGATTGATTTGGCATGACTTTTGAAAGATCAAAAAGTTATTTTTGAATTCATTTGATTAAATTTATGAAAGTACTTCTTCTGGTTAAAAGAATTTTTAGATGAAGTCGGTCCAATGTGACTTTTAAAAAAAAATGGACAATGAATCTTTTTTAGAAATTAATATTCAAACAAAAATTAAGGTAAGCAAAAATCATGTCAAACAGACCCTCATTATACAACGATTGACCTTGGTTTCAATAATTTTAAGAAGGGCAAAAATGTATGTCCTCGTTTTCCCCGTTAATATAGTTGATAAAAAAAAATGCAAAAAATAAAAATACTTCATCTTACCCGCTAGCTCATCGTCGAACCAATCTAATCCAACACGGCCTAATTCCACCACACCACTACCCCACCTCATTATCACCAATGCCACACATATCGCCAGGGGGTGGGGTTGGTGGGGCGTTCTTCCCCAGTATTTGAAACCCAAACTATTCATGCCTGGGTTATTGCAGGTTGGGGGTGCAAATCCAAAGGGGATAAATCCCCTAAATTAGCGGTGGCTGTGGTAATGGGTGAGATAGGTGTTCAAAAGAGCAAATTTTGTTAAGGGTGGGATTTTAACTAGAAGCGAACCTCTCGAATCAAAATCGAATCAGAATTGAGATCGAGAATCAAGTTTGTTCTCGAATCGAAATTGTGGTTGCCCAACTCTAAAATTGAATTTGTCCCTTTTTAAAAGTTTATTATTTTTTTAGAATTCACCATTACCTAATGACCTGGCGCAATAGGTGGCAAGCACTCTAATGAATGTGATTCATTTATTTGAATAATTGAATCATGTAATTGTTGTTTATAGCCATTCTTATTGCACTTTAGCACCACTTGTCCCCACAAACCTTTCTTGAGACGTCACATGCGGTGCCTCGATTAGAATTGGATGCTATTTTGCTGATATTTGATGACATATTTGTAATGTTTTAAGAAATTATTGAAATATGTATTTGGTAGTATATTTTATTTCTTCTATTTCTAATATATGTTGGGAAAATAATTTATTATCAGCACGTCTATTTAAAAAAAATGTTACGAGGAGAATTGAACTCAAATTGAAACGAGAGGATTCAAATTTGATTCAAGTAATTACATAGACTCGAATGGTTCAATTTACGAAATATCCAAAATTTAATGGGTGTTTCGAATATTGAAATATAATATTGATCCACACGATGTCCAACCTAATTTTTGTGATGAGGGGTTGGGGTGTTCAAAGTAGTGTGTAGGTGGTGGCAACGCGACAAACTGACGACAATGGGTGGTTAGGCCATGGTGGCGGCGGCGGTGGCGATGACAACGACGACAATGAGCATATACGTGGTGTTGGTGGTGTGGGATGGGTGCAACGGATAGGATGGATTTGGGAAATATGAGATTTATTTTTCTTTTTGTTTCATTTTCATTAAATCATTTTTCATCTATTTTCTTTTTACTTTTTTATATATAAATTATCTATTTACTTATTTACCCCACTAAAATGTGGACAACTTCAATTCACGTGCCTAACTAACAATTTTTTAGACTAAGCCCTTGTTTGGGCTCTGTTCTCCAAAAATAATTTTTTTCTTATTTTTAATCCAACATTTTTCAATAAAATAATATTATACGTAAATTTAAAATTTTCTTATTTTTTAATCACACATTCTCCAAAATATTACTATTCAAAAATGGAGTCCAAACAAGGGCTAAAGCTAAATGTCCTTGTGATGCATAGTTTTGTAAACTTTTTGGATTTTGGTGCCAAAAATAAAAACTTTGGGACCTCTCTGTACTTATTTGAAAAGTTAAGAACCCAAACTATAATTTCCCCTTTCCAAATTTACGAGATCTAACTCGTTGAAAAATGGAAAGCAGATAATGGCGCCATTGGCTGCTAGTTATTTTATTTTGAAATTCACGTTTTATGCCAGCAAAGCAATATGTGGGCCAAGGCGGTAGTAAAGCCCAAAGAATCGGTACAATACACGATTCCAAAATGTCGTACGAATTTGACCAGCCCACTAACCTGTCCAACAACCTTAGTCAAATCAATCCAGCTAAGAAAACAACAATAAGTGTTCAAATTTAGGCCACGTTTACCTTCCATTATTTCAAAACATTACTTTTTAGAGCACGATCTCCACCATACATTTACCCAATAAAATACTCTATACCCAAATTAATGAAATTATTTTAAATTTCAACCACACATTCTTTTAAAAATACTATTCCTTACTTCATTTCATCTACAATAATGGGAGACAAAAACACACTTAGTAGATTGCAATATGAACCAACATGAAAATTTTATTTAACCCCCATTTGGACCACCTTATTTTCTCATTAAAATGAAAAATATGACAGTTATCCATCACATCAAAATTTAAATTCAAATTTTCTATCTCTTATGTGGGCCCCAATAACGACTATATTTTTCATTCTCATTCTATAAAAGATGGCTTAAACAAGACCATAATTAAGCATTCCTAGTACATTTCTTGTTTGTTAATTGCATAGAGTCGAGTATATATTACGCTTTAGACTACATGTGTTGATGATTATGTATTGCCTTCAGGTATAAATACATTTTTGATTCATATTAGTTCTGCGACTTTTTGTAGGGTGTTTTTTTTTCCTGAGTGTGTTTGAGCCACATCATTTTGGAAGAATGTATTTTGAAATCGTAAATTAAGGGAAATTGTGTGGTTGAAAAATAAAGAAAAATTATTGATGTGATAAAAAATATTATTTTATTGAAAAATGTGTGGTTGAAAATGAGTACAATAATGAAAATGAAAATTTTAATGTTACTTAATCATGGCTAATTCTTTATAGTGTTCGTACTGTCGATCTACAATTTCATGCTGTCAAGGGACCTCCCAACACTGTGCTTTGGATCACCAAACACCATATAATCAACTACCTCAATTAATGGTCATCAAAAGTTTCAAGCAGTATATTTATACTGAACACAAAAGTGAAGATTATATCACCACCAATTTTTATTGAAGAGCTTGACTCCGAGATTCCTAGCAAATGGTCCACGGAATTGATGTAAATTGATGATGTTAGTGATAATCTTATAAATGAAATTGGAAGTAAGGATGATTTGTTGGAAAAGCATTCCATAAATTGGAATGTTAGAGCTCATTCGTACGAGTGTATAAAAATTATAAAAAATGTACAAAAAGATGAGTACCCTAAGGTCTGCATGAAACATGTGTTAACCTAACCTATAATTACAACATCTAAGTTAACCATTTGCTTAAGAAAGCATAAGATGTTGGGTTTATTAATTTGTCATGTGGCACACGTGTAATTAATTATGTATAATTGATCAAATAAAGAATTAAATTGTTGGGATTGTGGTATCCAAATAAAGTTTGTGCCGGACTATATGTGTAGAGATAAGATCAATTATGGTTGTATATGACGATAAGTCAAAGGACTATTATGGCATTTGTGACACATTTTGGTCTTAAACTACATCAAATGGTTTACAAATTAAA